CCCCCCCGAATGAGCGAACCGCTTAAACCTCGTTCGATTGCGGTAACGGTCGCAGCGACGACCGTAATATCCGTTTCGCGCTTTTGATCGTTGCGTTTCGCGCGTTTGTACGTTTCCGGTCGCGTACGTTTGTTTACACGCTAAAGCGGACACAAGAAAAGTTTCGAAACGTCCGAATACGTCGTGACTAATATATTTTATCTTATTGACCAAATTTTGATTGCGCGCAATAATTACCGCGCGTGGCTCCGCGTGCCTCTCTTACTATTTCCTCGTTGATTTCGTCAGAAGAGCCTATACTTATGTTTATTATGAATAATATAATACAATAATATAATAATAATATAAAGATAAAATTAATGTTATTTCATTACAGTAACATACACGTGGACGTACCTATTTTTCTCTTGCACCAAATCTTGCAATCCTCACATCGTGTGACTAGACAACAATATCGATTTTGTGGCTGTCTCAGAAAATCATGACGTTATTACCGCCAACGCCAGCGCAACAGAAACGTATAGATAAGGAACTTGCACCTGACCCGGAAGTGAGAAAACAAGATATCAGAACGCTTCGAGAATGGCTCTCGAAACAGCCGCATTTGCCGAATCACATAGGTTCGTTTGCAACGTGTTCTAATCACATCAAGGACGCGAACATGCGATTTTATTACTATACAAATACAGCTTTAAATAATTATAATATGCAAGATATTGAAAAATATCTCAACTCTAACGATCTGACTAACAAGGAAACGAACCCAAGTCGTCCTCCTTTTTATATTTTGATGCGCTTTGGATGTATGTTGTAGTATAGTTTAAAATAAGGAAAACGTAAACGTTTTTATAAATGCTTTTATGCACCTTAAGAAGGTAAAACATACCTACTTTTGAAAAATTACGTTATGCTTCTAAACATATAATATCGAAATACGAGGAGAGATATATAATATAAAAGACATGTTCAAAAATACGTGAGACACGATCTAAACAAAATTTTAACTTTTATGGTATCAAAAATACTTTTTCGTCATATTTTTTTTAAATGTTATATATTTTTCAAACGATCCCACTACCTTTATTTTTTGAAACGTTCGACATTATTTTGTACGTAACGTAAAGCTTCGTTAAAGACAACGTTAACAAACGCGTTAAGACAATATAACAAACGTATTTTCCAAAAATACATTTTTGAAAAATAAATTCCAAGTTTCTATACATATGGTATTTGTAACCGTCTTATCCACTTGATATTTGCTCACAACAACTTTTCTTTTGTTTTTATAACAAAACTTACGTTAGTCAAGGTTTCGTCAAAAGAATAAAAAAGTTGATTAGAATAATGTAGCCGTACTAATAGCATTTGTAACATTAATCAATGCCGTGACGCAAAAGCATAATCTTACTTAATCTCGTCTTTCCACGTCAATAAGATGAGCATCGTTATGAACGTGTTTGCGTTAAAACGTCAGTGCAGAGCTTTCCAACACGTATTGTTTATTACGACGTAATATAAAGTATATGTATCTTAAAAATTTGTCTATTCGTGCTTTATATTATTTGTACTTTGTACATATTTTTACTTTTACTTTGTCTTTTTATGTTAACGAACGTCTTGTATATATGTATATAACGTTTTCTTTTTTATTACAAAACCTATAAAAAACAAATGTTGATATTTTACATATCCAAAGCTTACAAATCAAATAACAAACGGAAAGAATCCTTGGATCCATTTCCTTAAACTAAACTAAACTAAACTAACTAAACAAATTTTGCAAGATTTTAACTAAAAAATTATGATAAGAATAAAAGATGATTATTAAAAAGTGAGAAAAATAAACGACCTCACAGCAGTAGGTATCCGAAGTTAAGTGAACGTAAATCAAGTTTAGTAAAGAAAACATGTATCCAACGAAAAACGTGTGAAATTTTGCATATAGGAATGTGATCCACACATCTTTTGTTCATTGCAGACGACGCCAAACTGGAGAGATTTCTTTTCAATTGCAAGAACAGTATCGAGAGATGTAAATTAATCTTGGAAAGATACTACACCGTCCGAACGTCCTTGCCGGAATTTTTCGCCGCTCGAGACCCACTGTCTCAAGACATTCAAGACTGCTTCACGACCATGTAAATAAATCTTTGTTCGCAATCTTAAATAGACAAAAAAAAAGAAAATTAAAGTAGCTAATGATTTTAGGACAACGTGTCAAGTCCCGATTAAATTTACTATTGCATGTGTTATTATATAAACAAATATTTTCGTTAGTGAATGCGTCGTTTTGCCGTCATTAACCGAGGAAGGATACCGTGTCACCATCTTCCGATTACGTAATCCCGACATGGAGAAGTTCTCGGTACAAGCGATAGTCAGACGCGTTTTAATGCAACTTGATATTCGTTTGCTGGAGGAAGTCTGCTTGTCCAATATTTTTGTTTTGGATCTCGAGGTAAAACACTGACGTTATTGCCTTCATTTCGATGTTTCTTATTGTACTTTAATGTTTTATCCGTGTCCTTATATTAAAATCATACGTATTAATACCTACATTTACATGGCACAACATCTTGAGAACTTTTTGGCCGTATTCTCGATTCTGACGTTTAAATTTCGTAAACAAATATAAAAAACTCCGTGTTTTAATACAGTACGTGCATTTTTTTACGATATGACAAACTTATATGCTGATACTTTAAGAAAGATATACATGAGTGAGTTGAGTATAAAGTTAAGCATTGAGTGCACTCTTATCTAGTTACGCTGCTGTTACTTTGAAAATAGATGAGATTGTGCGTAGCTTTATTAATAAAGTCTAAAAGTGAAAATTAAAAAAAAAGTATAAAGGTACTGTAAAATCATGAAAGAAAATTTTTTATTTTATTTTATACTCCCTCTTGCTTTTAACGTGTTCACCACGGATCATTATTGAAATCTTGCGTCGTTTATTTAAAAAGAAATTTGTTCTTTTAGAACTTTAGTATGCCGCACATTGCAAAATTCATTCCAACGCAATCTATCGTGAGGCGCGCAATGTTGGCAGTGCAAGGTAGTATGCCTTACCGATTGGCTGGCGTTTATTTTCTTCACGCACCGTCGTTCATCTCTAATTTAACTAACATATTTTATCCACTTTTGAAAGAAAAGTTGACTCAGAAGGTAAGGCCAAAGGTTTAAATAAAATAACCACTAATCAAGTCGGAAATACACACAGCAATATATTTATATCACATGTGCGTGAAAAGTGGCCCATTCCGCGCGCAATGGGCCACTTTCCACGCACTTGTAATATAAAATAGGGTGTGTAACACGTGCGTTAAGTAGAAACGTGGATGTGCGGGTGATCGCACGAGCCGAAGGCGAGTCCACTCCGCACGTCCAATTTCCAACTTACCGCACTTGTTACACAAATAACTTATATCACACGTGCGTGGAAAGTGGCCTATTACGCGCGTGCCATCTGTGCGACAAATGGCCGATTCCACACACGAGTCGAAACAGTGCGGTAATGTTTACATCGGCCATCCGTCGCACAGATGGCGCGCGCGCAATAATGGGCCACTTTCCACGCACTTTGTAATATAAAATAGGGTGTGTAACACGTGCGGGTTGAGACGTGGACACTCGTGCGAGTGATCGCACGAGCCGAAGGCGAGTGCGTCCACTCCGCACTCGTGTCCACGTCTCAACTTCTCGCACTTGTTACACAATCAACTATTCTTATCTGTTTGCAGTTTTATATTTTTAATGGTGGCGGGGAAGAATTACATGCTCACCTAAACAAGGATATACTTCCTAACGAATGGGGTGGTAAAGCAGGCACTTTTCGAGAATTAAATGGTAAATATATAATTTTTTTATCTTATATTTTGGATAACATTGATATATTTGTCACGCTTATAAAAGCGTTTCTACTTTATAAATATTTATAAATAGAATATTTATTAATTGATCTTTTGTGATATATAATTATATACAATTATATGTATAGATAAAATTACGAGAATGATTTTAATAGATTTATTTGATCTCTATAATATTACGTATCTCTCTTTTACATACACACAGCTGCGTGGCAGGAAAAAATTGAAAAGAATAGAGATTGGTTTTTACGGGATGAAAAGCTGAGTCGCACGAACGAGAAGGCACGTTTACTAGAATCGAAAGCATCCTGTGTTATGATGGAATTCGAAGGAATTCAAGGTTCATTTCGAAAATTGAATATAGATTAATGATAATCTCTATTATATAAATTGTATATATTCCTTCATTAGCAAACAAAAATGTTTGTTAATCCACATAACTTGTTGTAATTCGATTAAAATTACAACGTATGAAAATCATATAACGAAACAAAGATGTAAAATTGCATATAATTATACGGTAATGGATTTATTTTTAAGCGGTAAGGGATTTATATTTAAAAAAATAAAATTTGATACATCGTAGAACTAAGTGCTTCTGGAAAATACTAAAATAAAAAGATACGTTGTTTAGTTGAGAACATAAAGAACTAATCTCTTATTTAAGAACAATATATTTATGTATTTAGAATAAAGATTAAAAGGTTTTATTAAATTATCAGGTTTTGTGTTTAGAGTTACGTGTTTTTACATTACGTCATTATCCGATGAACGAAGAAGCTTCTATTCTCTTTATTTCACGATATTAGTCTCAAGATAGCGCCACTTCTATGATTATCGTTTTTAGACGCGTATTTCACAGTAGATTTCAGATGAATATTAAATATTTTTCTAAACTTTAATAAAAATTTATATTTATTAAGTAATGTAAAATACATAGGACGATGTGTCTTTACTTTATACTTAATGTTTTTTATTGTCCGTTTAAAAATATATTTAATGTAATACTGTAATAAAACTGATTAAATTTTAAATAAATATTTTGCGTCGTTAGAAAATCATTTATTAAAAAGAATGTAAAACGTCAATAAATTACTATATTTTAAAGCACGTTTAGTTTGTCACATACATTGTGTTACGAGAAAAAAATAGTATATAGTATTTCCATAAACGTGGAACAAGAAGATTATGTAATTATATGTAAAGACTATACGTGTTGTATTATCGAGTAGAACATATAAAAAAATTGCGCCATATAATTTGCATGACCCAGATATGGTTATCGATGTAATAGTGGGCGTCTACGCGCCTTGTACTAGGTTAAATCAATTTATTCTTTGCCAATTTATTTTATGCAACGTAACGAAGATTACAAAATGCATTTGTGTCTTTCATAACCAACTGTGAAGTATCTTACTTTCATTTATATTCAACGGTATATTAACATAAAATGATATAAACATGTTGTGCGTATTTCGACGCAACAGATTTATTTCGAGTTATTGCATCAGTAGGGGAGACCGGGGCCAAAGCCGTCATTATTTTTTCGGTGCCGATTATTAACAAATAATTTCAGTAAAATGTGGTATACCGTTGTAAAGAATAAACCCTTGGCTACAAAATTTATACGGACATTTTTGGTCTACGTCGTTCAGTGGTAGAGTGAAAACGACAAAGGTGCAAAAATTGAAATGTCAAAATTGCCGGGGCGGAGTCGCCACTCCATTCTCGGGCTGAATTTTAAATAAAAATTCATAATTTTATCGAAATAATAGGATACATTTTATTAATTATTTTTTTATAGAAAAATGGAAACATTAATTAAAAACACGATGACACACTTATGTGCCCTACGCTCGCACGTTTCTCGTCAGCTCTATTCTGTCATCTCTGAGCACACGCAGCACATATTATCCAAGTCCTTACTTTGAGATTCGGAGACACAATAATATTGGGTTGGCAAATAAGTTCGTTCGGCTTTTTGACTGGTTTTGAATGGAAAAAACCGAACGAACTTATTTGCCAACCCAATATTTAAGATATTACAAATTTTCGACGCGCAAAAAATTTTACTTTCGACCTCCGAAAAGACGTTTGCCTCGATGAGAATCACAACATGGCACATAATCTCATTAACTCCGTTGGTTACGTGGGCACCATAAGCCGCGTTTACAGTATTAATGCCTAATTCACACAACATACAGATTTCGAAATAATTGCAATGACGACTCCGCCCCGCTGAAATAATTGCAATGACGACTTCGCCCCGGTCTCCCCTATATGTATAATTTAGAAGAGACAAAAAATGCGATTTATTATATCATATTTATCACTAAGAGGACTCCATCCATAATATCAATTTACTATTTATGATCCGATACTATTTATAACTTTTCAGCTGCAATCAGGAAATAATGAAAAAAATTTTATATATTCCAATATATGTCACATTTTTAAAAGAGTTGTTTTAATCAGTGAACAGTTAAACTTACAAGTTGTTGCATTTTGGCATCACCTTGGATGTTTAACTTTTATTTCTTTAATCTTGTTTATTAATCCAAATGCAAATAAACAGTTTCAAAAAAGTGATCTTTTCTCCCTCATTTGCATTTGATGATAAAATTTCTCGAATGGACATTAAACAAATAAAAACAGAGTGCAATAATTTCATTTTAATCTGATTAAAATGTAAATTTATTTTAATCTTGATTATGAAATTTTATGAGAAATTTAGCTGATTAGATACTTGTAACAAAGGCAAAAAAATACATAGATTCAAAATTAAAAAATAATACAGACGTTTGAAATATCACTTGCTTCTATATACTCAATGTCTCTTAATTAATCTTCTAGACTTATACTCTTGTCAGTTATCGACTTTGTGTCTAATAGTGACACCTACTTGTTAAAGAAAATATAAAAACGGCATTTTCATGTGTTGTAAAAATATTCCCCGAAAGATGACTATTATTAATGTTTCTTCAGATGGTATCAAATAGAAATGCAAATTTTTCAAGTAGCGGAAAAAGAAATCTCCGTACAAATTACAGAGCGAAATATCGCCGCGAGTCTAAAACGTCTGAAAGTAACTTACGACCGCCGCAATGCACAACGTTGACTTCTTTCGTCCTCGCTTAACTAACTTAATAAGTTAATGATGCTGGCGGCCTGATGCATCGAATAATGCCTCTGTTGAATCTACTTTGATTCATGCCGAATGAGGCGTTAGAAACATTTGTTTGTCGCTATTGTTACGGAGCATAAATCGCGAGGCGCGAGGCGCGAGGCGTGTCTGACGTACGAGTACATCCAACTTTTTCCACACTGCTCGTCATTCGGAACAGTTTTGTTTTCTTCATTTTGTTCGCGTGCCTCAGGAATGTAATATTCGAGGTCAGTTTAGAGCACAATGGAGATAGTCCGAGGAATGCGCGAGGTGCACGTACCTGCATCGTTTTCGCGCTCCATTGTTGATTTTGTCTTTTGTTTAACCACTTGGCGCCTGTTGCGAGCCTCTTCCCGTCTATCCTTTATCTCTCGATCTCACCACAAAGCGCGCAAAGTGCGCATTAAAGTGTGTTATCAGATATAATTCTCAAGGCGATTTCGCAAAAGTCTTATTTATGCTTTATTAGCCGCTTTATTCCGCCGTATCGTTACGTCACGGAATGATGCATCATTCATTGTTCGTAATGGGACTGATAACGGCGCGCAATGACAAATAATTATTCCATGTACAGCCCAAGTTTTGATTCGCCTCGCGCGTGCTCTGCATATCTGAAGAATCTTAAACAACGCAATAAAGGCTGCTCAAGTTGCCTCGCACATAAATAAAACACACACACACACACACACACACACGCACACACACACACAGGCGAGTGTTTATTGCGCGTGGAAGCTGCTTTCGCAGAGATGAAATATACATGTATACGATACGGGCGATTCCGATTTCGCTTCGCGCAACCGCATCAATTATGAAGAACGCGCAGCAGATAAACAAGTCAATTTTTTCATATTACGAACTACGCAATACCCGTGTCACTTTTTTTTTACTAATTATACGCATTAATAGCCGCGCGTCACCATATTGGATACCAATGAAGCGCGCTGCCTGGTCATAAATCGTTGTCGCTCAGATCGGAAAATTGTTTAGCTTGCATCGTATAAATATCCACGTGTTGTTTACATTGCATTATATAAGCATCCGAGTGCTCAATCGATACTATATATGTATACACATATTTACTATTCATAGCAGAATATGCTTATCACGAGCGATAAGAGAAGACGTCCTCTCCCCCTCCTCCACCACCCTTCACGTTACCCCTAATTTCAAAAATTTTCACGAAAATAGAAAACGTAATCAATACAGTTATTTCGCTGTATAAATGAAAGATTCAAAATATGTGTCAAAAACATGCACACAATTTTAAGATGTTAATGTATTCATCGAACGGGGTAATACATTCATAGAAAACGCAATGTTACACCGGATAGAATAATTTTATCAGCTATACTTTGACAGATAGATAGACAATATTATTTGCTGATTCCAGTGAAGGATCGAAAATAGCGCTCGTAACAATCTCCCAAGGTTCCCTTCCATTGACTTCAAGGTAAGCTGCGTGGCAGAACTGTTAGTTCCGTGAACGAATACATCGGTTATCGTCAGGTATCATCGTCGTGTACATATAACGCCGCGACGCGACGTGCGTCGCACACGTCCGTGGATTACTTATCAATGGGGGCCGCATGTTTGTCTTGTTTGGTCGCAAGTCAACGCATTAATGCGCTCTGCGTATAAGACGGCGCCTTCCCGTGTCGCGATTTCAGTTGCGGCCGAACAGAGCCGGCCGAAGGAATTTCACGTGGCCGACTTGGCGCGAGGAGCTGACCACATACGCGCTGACTACGTGGGAGGACGCACGTTGCTGCATTTGATTGCTCCGAAGCGTGTTTTTCTCGCTGCTTATTGGTACGTGCTAGCAAGAGACACGCGATCGCCATTACGCGTGTTTGAGTAATTTCGCGTATTAGACTTCCTGCCGGTATTCGAGGCCTCCGTGCGCGTCGCGTTACATAAGTATCGTTGCCACGTACGCGACGAAAGTAGGTTCAATTAATTAATCTGTTAAATACTGTCGGTGAATGCACCGTGCATTCGCGATGCGCTGTCGCGGAACCATCAATTTCGCGAGCGATGATCGTCTCTGCCGCGGTTTTCGTGGGAAACACGTATGAAATTTGTTCGGTAACAGTAAGATTCAGTTTTCTTCAAAGATAAATCGAAATTTGATGATTTCGCAGACGATCTCAGAATATGTTATATGAAGAATAGATATCACATGTAGTTGAAAATAAATGAAGAAGACTTGTCATTAGCTGTCTTCAGTTACCATGTGCTTAGTTTTTTTTTTAAGTATAATTTATCATTCTACTTAGAGATAACAGATAATAGACTTAAATGACAGTTCATAAATTAAAAGAACACAAATTTGACTTAAAAAAACATATATCTTTATTTATATTGGAGAAATGAAGAAAATATTTATCTATGATTATATAAGATTGATGAAAACATAATTTATATTAGAGGCATTTAGTTTAAAATAATTTTAGATCTCGAACGAACACCGCTTGAAAACACGGTAACTGATTTTTATTATGGCAATCGAAGATATGATAAATTTACGACCGTTAAATTGCAACCGTTGATTATTCGCATCGATATAG